GAAACTGAAGAAGGTAATGAAGAGAGAGGCACAGACATGGGTGTTATTAATGTAATGCTGAAAGTTCTTGAAGAAACCAATGCTAACAACTTGAATAGAAACAAAGCAACAGCATCATATGCCGACTCTTGTACCAATAAACATAATGATAAGAATTGGGAAATAGAACTTCAGAAGGAAGATGGGAATTATACTGAACATTTGAAAGTGTTTACAAGTGACAAAGACAGTGGCACAAGAGATAATTCTGTGCAAGACTTGTTGAATGAAGGTGAACAGACAGATTTGAAACTTTCTTATGGCATTTTGAGTAAATATACAGGAGAGAAGCCTTTCAAATGTTCTTACTGCAAAAAGAAATTTAATCAAAAGGGAGATTTGATCAGACACATCAGAACACACACTAAAGAGAAGCCCTTTGAATGTTCTTACTGCAAAAAGAAATTTAATCAAAAGGCAACTCTGATTGACCACATCAGAATGCACACTGGAGAGAAGCCCTTTGAGTGTCCTTTCTGCAAAAAGAAATTTCCATACAAGTTTTATTTGGTAATTCATATCAGAACACACACTGGAGAGAAACCATTTGAATGTTCTTACTGCAAAAAGAAATTTAATCAAAAGACAAATTTGATCAAACACATCAAAATACACACTGGAGAGAGGCCAATTGAATGTTCTCACTGCAAAAAGAAATTTAATCAAAAGACAAATTTGATCAGACACATCAGAACACATACTGGTGAGAAGCCCTTTGGGTGTTCTTACTGCAAAAAGGAATTTTCTCACAAGAGAAGCTTGACATATCATTTAAAAACACACACTTGAAGGAACTTTTTGGATCTTCTCATACTTCAAAAAGAAATTTGTTGAAATAAGTGATTTGATAATTCAGGGATTTTTATTATTAGAAGTCAGTAACTGAAGAAATCCAGTGTCTGGTTTTGACATTTGGGCAGCTACTTTTGCCAAATTATGTTTTTTCACTAGTTGTTGTTCTTCAAGATTCACATGTATAAGCTTTTGAAGAACAGCCTGGAGATGATCATGTTTGGAAAGTTATTATCTAAGCAGATTCTTATTCATTTTCTCTGTCCAAGGTTAACATTTCAAACTCCACTGCATGTCAAGGTATACTAAAAACACAAGAATGAGGTCTGTTCTAATTTTAATTTTAGATCAAATCAGTAATTATTTCAACACCTCTAAAGGCCCTCATGCTTCCCGCAAACTTTGCTTGGAGGAAAGGGAGTCACATCCCTCTCTTTCTTCACTTGATAAAAAGATAAAAAATACTAAAAATAAATGCATAAATAAGACGACATTATGGCTATCTTTTCAAAATGATGAAAATAATTTGCTCTCTTCATTATATATTGTGTTTGATGTACATATCTGATAGGCTTGCTCAACAGCTTGCTCAACTGACTTTTTAAGTCGTTTTCAGTCTCGATACTTTTGTTGAAAAAGGGCTTCAAGAGACATCTGTTAATTTTGTACATTTACCAATCCAGACTTCCCAAATCAATCATATCTATAGATTTCAATAGATATCCTATTTTTCAATTACTGTTTTTTTAATAATGAAATCTAGAGAAAAACATTGGACAAAGTAACTAGCTTACGCATGCTCAGTGTGCATTTTCAGTTCTTCATTGATTTCAGGGTATAGACCAAAGGGCGTGGCTATCGTAACTCCTTAGTTTGTAAGATTTTTATTGTGTCATTGCTACCCATGTTGAAAGAACACATCACAGTGAATAAGATCTGATAGTTTCATTGCTCATACATTTAAGAACCAGAAATTTCAGGTGTTTGAAGTTGCAAAAGTTTGAGTGAAAATGAGTATGGAGACCTGACCAGCCTCGTTTTCACGTTTTTGTTACATTTCAAATGCTYRTARCTCTGCTGATATTYAACAWTTGAAACTAAAACTCTGCCAATTTACTAGTTGAGATATACTCCTTCATATGGTGAAAACAGATGTTTAAAAATATGGAGCGTTTAATGTGCTCATTCCCAGTCTTCTGCTCGTTTTTCTTATGGTCAATAGGCTAAAGTTATACATGGAGAGAATTTCCTTCTCTTATGAGAATAGTTTAATAGAGTAGTATAATAGTTACAATTCAGACTCTTCGCTTGTTTTGTTCTAGTATTGATCACAAATGCACACTCGGTAGTTAGAGAATATTGGGTAATTACTCTATTTTGAAATAGTGCTAACAAGCAAGTCAAGTTTTATGGTATCATTTTATAGGTGGTCCTTATCAGCCTGCCTTCACGTCGAAACAAGAGGAAATGGAGTGGAAAAGTCCAGCCATGGCTCAGATTAGCTTTTATGCAAAGAGGTTTTACCATCGCAGGGGCGGATACAGGGGGGGGGGGGKGGATTGGATGGATTTCCACCCCCCTTTTCGATCCTTAAAAATTTAAACAATGAGCTGTTTTTATTTATAAAATTTAAAATATATATTTTTGGCAAAAATCAAAATGCATATAAATCAAAAATTCTACAATTACCGATTCTTGTCGAAATTTGTAATCAGTAATTATGTGCCAGTACAGCGTTATCTATTTGAAGAGCCTTGCTTTCTTGAAGTTATCCGAGTTTGTAGGTCTTGAAGTTATCCGAGTTGGTAGAATCTAATGAAGAATGAAGGACGCCCACGTGTATGCAGTAGACAGCAGAATAGAGATAACACCCCAGCAGAGTCAGTGTCAGTATAGTGGAAGCGTACCGTGGCGATTCCTTTCTTGGACACAGTTTGTTCAGAACTGAAAAGCCGCTTCAGCCAAGAAACGGTAGCACACGATGAGCTCTGCGCTCTAATTCCATCAGTCTTTGCAACCAAGTCTCCTGATGAGATAACTGAACTTGCCAGTGTTCTGCAACGAAAGTGGGATCATTTACTGCCACTTTCATCGGCCTTTGAAAGTGAACTGTTCCGCTGGAATAGTTACTGTAAGGAGCATGCTATTGAAGAATCTTCTGCAACAAGTCTTTTGGAAAAACATGCTGATAGCATTTTCTTTCCAAACACCCGGGAACGTTTCAAGATTCTTGCTGTATTGCCAATAGGTAGTACTGAAGCTGAGCGATCTTTTTCATGTGTCAGAAGGATACATACTTGGTTAAGGAGTACAATGACAACCCAAAGGCTATCGGACTTGGCTTGCATTGCGATGCATAGCCACTTCATCCGTATAAGTCCAGACGAAGTATGCCAAAGATATTTAACAAATAGATCTCATTTTTCCGTGCGTGTGTACTCTAATAGATACACAGATGAACAAAAAAGTACGCACGAGACACACAGAGTACACACACACGGAAAAATGAGATCTATCTGTTTTATACAACAAACAATTAGTTTTGACGTAATCTGTGTATCTATACTTTGATAACACACGAAAGCCAACCAATCAAAACGTCTGATTTTACTGAAAAGTTGTATAAATGACAATACACCCAAGAAGAATGATGTCATCATCCATTTTGAAAGATCAGTAACGCTTTGGTAGCTAAGTAAGTGTAACTATTTGAAGTTTTCTATTGTTTTACAATCATTTCCTTTTTCTAGAACGCAGCTGCACTGACAAATCTATAACTTTTTATGGCATTTGTAATTTCGTTGTTTACATAAAGTGTAATGACCTTCGTTGAGTGAAATCTTTTTCCACCCCCCTTTGAGAAATCCTGTATCCGCCCCTTCATCGTATTCAAAATAACTCTCCATCCATGAAAATAAAACATTTGATAAAAAATCTGCCCAATTCGACTTGAATGCAAATAATTAAATAAATCTGCAGACTTTTACAGTGAAACTTAAATAAATGTTTACGGGAATATTTGCGGGAAAGATACGTTGCAGACATCTTAAAAAGCGCTCTCATCACGTCATATACTTGACATTTGGATAGCAATGTGAATCAGTTGTGGACTTGTAATACACGTTATAATAATAATAAATCAGACGAGAAGGTAATAGAACGATTTCACATAAGCGTTTTTAACATGCAAATGAGTTTTTCGAGTATTTAACATGCAAATTAGTTGTTACCTGAGATGAGTTGTTACCTTGAAAACTTGAGTCGAATTGGAATGCATTGTATTTATTACGAACTTTGATACTGAATAAAATTCAAAATTGATAAACGGTGTAACTCGTCCTTTGATAATACGTTTGGGCTAATTTGCATGTTATATACTCGAATAACTCATTTGCATGTTAAAAACGCTTATGTGAAATCGTTCTAATATTTGAACATATGCATATTGACGGTTTCAGTACACATAACAGGGCAATGTAGCTCAATGTCTTGTTAACAAAATCCTTGTCGTTTGTCAGGATGTATTGTGTCCCAGGCTAATTGTAGTACACCTTGGTTTTTCTTAACGTTACGTCAGTTACCAGTCTGTCAACAATTATGTCAACTTTAGATTGTCGTGTGCATATAGGAACACGCAGTTTCTGCCTGCAGAAAACCTGTGTAATGAATAGACTTTCTTCAAGTCGTTCTATTTTATATGAGGGAACAACGTCAGTCCCGCTAAAGCTAAAAAATTGAATAGAGTGGCTTACGATAGTCTACTTGTGCAGAAAAGTAAACGCGTTGTGAGCCATTAAATTTCGATACCGTTGAGCTTTGTCGTGCATTGGTTTGATTCATTCATCCCTCATCATTCATCCCCCTTTTTCGCGGAAACGAAAAAGGAAAATGTAGTCGATGTAAATGTTTAACTAATCAGTAGAGAGATTTACAATTGTAGATGTAACAAAAAACAAACTTAAGTTTTCACAGTTATAATTATTTTTATTTATTCACATATATGATTTATTTGATACATTTACCTGTTCTTTTTCGCTGATTATTTCTTTTTATGTCACTCCTAAATAAAATCTTACAGACGGGGTTCCTGTCTATTTCGAAGCGAGGCTTACGATAGTAACGCCTTGTAGTTTTGTTTCTTAGAATTAGAATTCCAACCGACATAAAGTTGTACTATCATTTAACGGCTTTCAGACCTATTTACCACTGCAAAGAAACAGTCCAGGTTAGCAATCTAGGTTTTCACAGTAATTTTTGTGCATCTTTAATCATTCACGTCATAAAGGTTTAGAAAAATCAGTCCGTCTTGAAGTCAGGTCGACTATACCTCCTGCATGTGATGGCGACGAAGATGGCTACTGACTGGGTAGAATACAAGTGTAAGTCAGGACAGACTCTGTTTATTTACAACAAGGTGACAGGAGAACACAAGTGGCCTACTGGAAATGTAAGATTTGTAAGATTACTTTAACAATAGCTATACCTGCCAACAAGACTACTCTAGACTACAAATATTAACGGTATATGTTATATTTAACAAATAGATCTCATTTTTCCGTGCGTGTGTACTCTAATAGATACACAGATGACGTCAAAATGTAGTGAGAACAACAGTCACGCACTCGACTGCGTCTCGTGCGTACTTTTTTGTTCTCACTACATTTTGACGTCATCTGTGTATCTATTAGAGTACACACGCACGGAAAAATGAGATCTATTTGTTAAATA